TGCAATGGAAAGTGGATGACTGCAGATGCAGTTAAGTTATAATTTAACACCTGATCATTTGATCTCCCTTTGACCCATTTTAAATTTGTTCTAGTTTTTCATATTTTCTACTCTCTTTCCAACTGAGGTTTGTCTTACTTTATTGTTAGGTTTTATGCTGTTTTTGTATGTTTTCTGTATATGAAATTCAGAATAGGTAAACCTATGAAATCCAGAATAGGTAAATTTATAACTGGAATACTGGTCCCTTGGGGATATGGCTGGGAAGGTTGGGAGGAAATGGAGAGCTAATAACAATGAGTACAAGAAAGAAGAAAATGTTCTAAAATTGATTGTGGTGATGATTGTACAACTCTTCTTAACGTGATTGAACTATTAAATTGTGTGATATGTGAGTTATACACCAAAAAACCCCAACTGTTTAAAAAACCAAAATTAACAAGTAAAAAGCATGAAAAAAATCAAAGTGGTCATCTGATCATATTAGATAACATCATGGGGGATGGGCAGTTATGTCATTACAGGATTTCCCAAACACTCAGGATCATGGCCCAAGAAAATGGACACGTATGCAAGGGGCTCCGCAATGTTCCTCCCATTTTTCCTATGAAATTTTTAAAGTCCTCTTCTTATTGGTGGGGGGGTGCATAATTCCATTCATAACAGTATGTGAGCACTTGCAGCATTTCATCCATTTGTTGTACATCCTAACAGGTTTTCTCTCAATTGCTGGAGCCTTGCCTTTCACCAATGCCTTCAGTGCACCGTGGACTTCTTTCTTCAGTACTTCTGGCACTTGACCCTATGCTATCTCCTGAAACGATTGAATGTTGGCCAATTCCTTGGGGGAGTGGGGACAGTGACTATGTATTCCTTCCATCTTCTTGTTGCTCTTATTTTTCTTTTTAAAATCATTTCATTGAGGGCTCGTACAACTCTGATCACAATCTATACATCCATCCATCGTGTCAAGCACATTTGTACATTTGTTGCCATCATCATTCTCAAAACATTTTCTTTCTACTTGAGCCCTTGGTATCAGGTCCTCATTTTTCCCCCTCCCTCCCCACCCCCTTCCATCATGATCCCTTGATAATTTATAAATTATTATTGCTTCCTGTATCATTCGATACTTTGCCAATAAAATCCTTCAATATGGAAACTTGAGGCTTGAGGGTTTTTCCCTTCAGTTCTTTCGGCTTGAGAAATGCCAAGTACACTCTTCCTTTTTGGTATTCTAACTCGGGGTCTTTGACATTTTATTATAATACTTTATTTTGTCATTTGGAGTTGCCCTTTGAAATCTTCCGTTCTTTCTCTTCATCATTTCTTCCATTCACTTTAACTACTCTAAGTTTAAGAGCAAGTTTCAGTCTTTTCTGACATCTATTTTGTTTTGTTCTTTCTTTCCCGCGTCTTTTTAATGACCTTTTGCTTTCTTCGTGTATAATATCTTCAGTGTTATCCCACAATAATTCTGGACTTTGATCATTAGTGTTCAATGAGTCAACTCTATTCTTAAGGCAGTCTCTAAATGCAAGTGGGAAATATTCAGCTTCACTAGGCAGTGCCAAATTGTGTACCAATGTGAGTGTGCCAATCTAATGCCCAGCAGGATCATGTGAGTGTTCTCTTTGCCACTGGGTATCATCCGACACATTGATTCATTCACACACTCATTCATACTTGGTGGGTGTGAAGTGCTATCTTATGGTAGTATGCCATGTATCTAATTACTAATGTGGTTCAATATATATTTTCTGTGTCTATGTATAGGAAATGTATATGTATACTTTTGTCAAAGTAATTTTTGCATCTTTGCCATTTTTTATTATTGGAATTTTGGTCTTTTTCTATTGATGCATAAGCATTAAATATATATTGCATATGCTGGTACTATTCGGAACTATAGGAGTAAGATGAAGCTTTCTACTCCTTTAGAGAGTTACAATCAGAAACCCATAGGGACATGTCTACCTTGTTCTATAGAGTCACTATGAGTCAGAATCAATTCTATCCCAGCGAGAGAGACTGTTTGGAACTGATATTTTTATGCAATTTAATGCATTGCCTGCATTTCACTCTTTTGTATCTTCAGTTGAATATAAAATTTTGACCATATTTTTTAAAGACTTAAAAATATCTTAAGTCTTTCCAGCTGTAGTTTTTAGTATTTTGTTTAAGGATTTCTTCTTGATTTTGTCGTCATTCTCTCTCTCTCTCTCTGGCACACACACACACACACACACACACACACACGTGCAGCTTCTTCTAAAGATTTTGAGGTTTTACTTTTTTCACATTAACTTTTTCATTCATCTGGATCTTTTTTATACAGCATAAAGTCAGAATCAATTTTTATTTTCACATTTCTTCTTATGCCTAACCAATTGCCCTGAGATCATTTATCAAAAAACTCCTTATTTAACCAATTTTATTTATTGTACTTTTTGTGATCTATAAGTCTTCCATATTTGTTGACTCGGTAATTGTCTCATTGTGCGATTTGTCTGTCTCGATGCCAGGACTACGTAATCTTAACCACCACAGCTTTAACACAACCTCCTCTGGACAAGTCCCCTTCGTCTCTGCTGTAGCCCTTGTCTTTGTAGTGTTGCCTCTTTTCTTCTCTTTTTCCTCCCTCTTCCCCCTCCCCCCTTTTCCTCTTCTTCCTCCCCCATTTTCTTCTAGAATATTTTAAATAACTGTGTACTTTTATCCCTATATATATGTTGTAGCAACAACCTTGTTAATTTTCTTCAAAAGCCGTGCTCTGATTTTGGTTGAGATTATATCTATTGATTTACTGATCTATCAATTATGTTGTAGAACTCACATTTCTATAGCATCAAGTCTTTCTGGGTTTGAACATAATATTTCATTTATTTGTTAATTCAGAACTACTTCAATGTCTGCCAACGAGCTCTGCCGGCACTGTCCTATGGGTGTTAGATTATCAATGGCAAGGTTGCTGGCTCAAACCTACCAAGCAATCCACCAGGAGAGAGATGAGGCTATCTGCATCTATAAGGATTTCCAGCCTAGGAAGCATTACATAGTTGCTATGAGTCAGCTCTGCTTCAGTACAGTGGGTTTTGCTTGGATTTTATTGTCTATCCATAATTGTTATCATTTTCCACATCTGTATCTGCTAGGTTGATCTGGGCCTAGTTTTACTAATTGGTGAAAGAGCATCTCCAACTATCTTGTCTTCTAAAACAGAAAGTCCAGTATCACCTTAGACTCCACCCAACCTTCATTTCTTCTCTTTCATTGCTTACCCAGATCTTGTCAAGACGATGCCTTAGAAATCAAATCTCTATGGGAATGGAAAATAGGACAATGGATGCTGGTGACAGCTGATGCCATTGATTTCATTGTGCTATACACATTGTACTGAAACATCAGATTAGCAAGGTTCAGATCACTTATGTTCCTACAACAATTAAAATTAAATAATTTTTTTAAAACCTCTTGACTTCAACCACTTTTGTAGCCCTAGGGCCACTGTCTTCTAAAATATTAACTAGTTCCCTAACTGGTCTCTTGGTCTCCTAGCTGATCTGTTTTATCTCCTCTTCTCCCTCCTCTGCACTGGTAACATTGGTGATCAGCAGGATCACTCCAGGACATACCGCCACTTTGATTAGTCCCCTCCTGGTTAGTTAGTCTGTGTCTCAGTTTCCCCATCTGTGGAAGGAGTATAATAGGGGCCATCTGCCCCGGTATTTTATCAGGGACACTGTTTGGATATGTTTGAATGGAAACCAGATAGGCTTTTAGTTGGTTTTATGAGTACTTTTAAATTCTTTACTGACAAGTTGCTGCTTTTTTGTTTGTTTGTTTACATCTAGCCTAGCTATTCCCAGTCCCACCCTCCTTGATACAATATTAGAGATTAGTACTTTACCCCATAGATAAAGGTTAAACCAAACAATGCTTGCTGAAAACTTAGCCAAGGTCCCTGCAATGTTGATGATTATTAATAATATGAAAATCTTTATTGGTTCTTTATTCCATGTAAGGGTCCTGTCTTGACATGGAAAACCTTCACACACACACACACACACACACACACACACACACACACCCCAGCCTCATTCACTCCTTTCCACCCTCATGGGTCCTACCCTACAGCTATATTTACTATGCCTGAGCACCGAGTCTTCTCATGTCCCCAGTGCCTTTGCAAATGTCCTTTATGGAGCTTAAAATCTCTTCCCTTCTCTCTGATTTATTACAGACCCGCAAGATCTCCCACAGGCATGCTTCCTGTGAAATTTTCTTCGAATCACCCAGACAAAAGCAATGACGCCTCCTTTGTGATCTCGCTGTCGTTGGGGGCCGTGGAGTAGGTTCCGACCCACAGTGACCGTGCGCACAGCAGAACATATCACTGCCCGGTCCTGTGCCATCCTCTCAATTGTTCCGAAGCTGGACGTGGCAGCCACTGTGCCACGGTGTGATTTAGAACCTCTGTTTCCATCGCTCTGTGAAATCCGGCCCTCACTGAGACTCGTGGAGGGGGGCATCTGTATAGTGCTCATATTTTTTATCCACTTTGTATCCCCAATAACCAAAATTGTGTCTCTCCCTTAATATTGGTGCAATACTTGTGCGAGTTCTGTTTGCTTCATTCTAGGATTTTCCTTTATTGGAATGAATGAACAGATGGATGGATGGATGGATGGATGGATGGATGGATGGATGGATAGGAACGGTTTTGACTCCACACTAGACATTGCAATAATGTTCCTCGGTGCTAGTTTGGGTTATTTTTAGCTCACCTGACGACACTTCCATGCCCCCAAGAGAAATAATCCTGAATACCACAGTGCCTGTTTGCCTCGCCATCTGGTCGGCGCTGACCCGATAGGGCAGAGGAGAGCTTCCCTACATCTTCCGAGGCCACACATCTTCCTGGAAGCAGAAAGCCAAGTCCTTCTCCAGCAGAGCAGCTGGTGGGTTAGAACTGCCCACCTGGTGGTTAACCTCCCAAGTGTAATCCACCACGTCATCCGAGCAGCAAAGGTGGGGTAGGTTCTTCCAGCTTCATCAGCGTCCCTGAGAGGGCGCGGTACCCAAATCAACCCTCCAGAGGCGGGGACTGAAACCACGGAGCTTCCCCCTGCGCTCAGCATCCCTGCCAGGGCCCTGCGCAGCTCAGAATCACAAGCTGGGCGCCTGCCCATAGACATGGCGACGCCCTGCTCAGCTTCTCTCCGCGGAGCTTGTGGGGCCGTTCTGGCCTTGCCAGTACTTGGGGACTTCCTCCGCGAGCCAGCTTCCTGCGCCGCTGGCATTTAAGCCGGCACCTCAGGCTGCGGGATGCCACTGCAGAAGTGGAACGGCGCGCTGGTTGCCCGGAGAAGGAGCGGAGCCCGAGCATCCCTGAAACACTGCATCCCAGGCTGAGCCGCGGAGGGCGAAGGGAGAAGTCCAGGACGCTGTCATCTGACAGTTTTAATTGCAGGGTTGACTTTCAATCCCACGATCGCAACTTGCCCGCTGCACCCTCCGATTATTTTCCCTCCGACCTGGTGAAGAAGGGCTGCGTCTCTGGAGCCGCGGGAGAGGGCGCGCCCGGTCCCGCTCTGTCGCCCTAAGGACCTCGAGCCGCGCGCCCCGGCCATGGTGCAGCCGAGCCCGGCGCTCCGGTGAGGCGGCGGGCCGGCCCTGCAGGCGCCGTCCCGGGGAAACCGAGGGTCGCGGGGACCGGGCACATTCCCGCTGGGGCAGTGCGCACCCGGGGCAGGGGGCCCATCGGGCGGCGGCGGCCACGATGTTCAGCTGGCTGGGGAGCGACGACCGCCGGAGAAAGGACCCCGAGGTCTTCCAGACGGTGAGCGAGGGACTCAAGAAACTCTACAAGAGCAAGCTCCTGCCGTTGGAAGAGCACTACCGCTTCCATGAGTTCCACTCGCCCGCCCTGGAGGATGCTGATTTCGACAACAAGCCCATGGTCCTGCTGGTGGGCCAGTACTCCACAGGGAAGACCACTTTCATCAGGTGAGCGGGCCCAGAGAACCACCAGCCCCACCCAGACCCGCTGCCCAGCGCCTAACCCCTCCGTTCACTCCGGTGAACCTGTCTCGGGTGAATTTGTTCTGCAGTCCGCAAACAAACGTAACGTCTTCTGCTAAAGGTTCTGAAGAAATCCTGGTGCCTGTGTCAAAACTTAACCCCAACTACCCCCCCCCCATCCCCCTCTGCATCTCACACCCCACCCCACATCACTCCACCGTTCTTAGCCGAAGTGTAAAGTTCAGACCACCCCCACTGGCCCCCTTTTTATGGATGGTGATTCTGAAGCCCAGTAGGTTCACATGGAGGAAGAACTGGTCTTGGAGTGCCTGTGCCACTAGGAATGACTGTCACCCTCACTTTGGGGGGAACCTCAGTTCCAGGTCACAGACATGCCCCTTACCGCCGTGACCACCTCCCCTGACTCCCAAAGTGCTCTGTTACTCAAATAGAGACCGCCAAAGACATAGCTGAGGCGTTCTGGTGGGAAGAGGCTTGGGAATGAGCATGGCCTGGCCTCCTGCCTGATGGTGTCATTTGTCCTTTTATCATCTTCCTTCTGTGGGGCAGAGCCCCAGCACCTATCTCTTCATAATATACAGAAGTGGAGTATCTCCTCCTCCCCCCTCCCTGGTCTCCCTTGTTTGAGCTTAATAGTATAGTAATAATGTTTAAGGGCTTTTAGAGCCCAAGGGTTATTGGAAATTGTTTCATCCCGACTCTTGACTTTGTAAGTGAGATAGCTGAGGAGGCACAGAGAGGTTAACTGCATTGGAGACAGATCTGGGATACAGGTGCTAGATGCGTGTGAGCAGATGGTTGGCTAAATGCCCTTGACTTTGAGAGTGAGTCATCCCCTCCGCTGAATGACAGAATCCTTGGACTGGCGAGATCCACAAGAGGTCAGTTCGTCTGCTTGCATTTAGAAAAATTTGTACCCTGAGAAGCCCCGGTGGAGTGGCTGCAGGCCCTCTGAGAGAGAACGACGAGGCTTTCTACTCCTGTAAAGAGTTGTGGTCTCCAAAACCCACAGGGACCCTTCTGCCCTGTCTGGTAGGGTCTCTGTGAGTTGCAGTCGACTCAATGGCAGTGAGTTTGGCTTGGTTTGGTATCCTGTCTGCCAAAGTGATCAGAATCCTTCCTGTCTTTACACAGTAGCTTCTCACCAGGTCTCAGTCCAGGCCATTTTTCTGGGCCTCATTTATAGCCACTGTCAAGCTATTGGGGGGTTGTAGTGCTTTATATTAACGTGGGGTTCAGTGACACTCCCCCCCACCCCAGGCCAAAGTCAAGGTGCTCTTCCCCTGAAGAAGACTTCAAAGAGGAGTTCTCCTCTTTCTCTCCCATGACTATTTGAGCTTTCTACAACATATAAAACAATTGTGCTTTGCTTGGTGGGGGGCGGGGGGCAGGGGGGGGGACTGACAAGTGAAAGAAGATCTGGCCAAGTATTAATTTTCTGTAAAGCCAAGCTTATAACGCTAGCCTTTTGGTAGAAGGACACGTGGTGCCAGCTATCACGTCATGTCTGAACAGAACACCAGATCGAGATGGTTCTAGTGCATGGACAGCTTTGAGTACAACAGCTCTGAGAGGCGGGGTGGTAGAAGAAGCTCAACCTGGGAGGTAACAGGGCTGTTGACTTTGGGCTCCTTTCGATGGCTAGTTAGCACTGCAGGGGCCTGTCTGTGGTGGTTAATCTAATCCAATGGCTCTTACAGTGTTGGCCAGGCTCTCCTCTGAAAATCTGAAGAGAGTTATCTTTAGAGAAATGCATATGCCTCCACATTTGCTCAGGCTTTTGAGAGCACAAGAACTATCCTCGTGTCCTAAAAATAAACCAAAAAGAAAAAACAACCTCATTGCCATGAGAACGAATCCAGGTCCCTTATCCTTTTAAACCCTCATTTCTGTCAAAGGCATTTTAGAGCCCCCTAAACGCTGTACAGAGTTTCCTTTGTAAACCTTGCATTTTCCTCGGGCTGGACAATGTCCCATAGAAAATACAGGCCATTTTCAAACGGCCTTCCCTAGCTCCCTGCATGTGCCTTCATTGTAACTCTGAGAACCTTTGCTGGTGCTTTCCTTCCAGGAGCAGGGGCACATCTGAGGCAAGGCAGTAGTTCTGCTTAGCATCTTCGGGGTCTAACCCAGAGTCTCCCCGACAGGGGGTCCCCCAACAGACATTTGCAGAGGGCCAGGCAAGACAGAGTGAAGGCGTGTCCCTCAAGACAGGGTTAAGTGCCTTTCATCTGAGACAGTCTCTCTCTGCTTCCCCTGAGTCATCTCTGGCTGTTAAACGTGACTAGGAAAGAGACCGAGTGGGGTTGCTTCTGATTACTGTTATCTGGCGGAGACAGGAAGGCCCGTGGAGGCAGGTCCCTCTTCCCTCTTACCAGAGCGCTCCCTCCCCACTCGGGCCAGTAACAGAATTAGACATGCGTTTGAAAAGCTGCCTCCCTTGAGGGAGAACAACCCCAGCAGGGCAGGAGGCGAAGCCCTCCTGAAGAAATGGCATGTTTTTCTTCCTTCTCATTAAATTCAATGAACAGGGGTGGGTTGTTTCTAATTGGAAAATACAGAAAAGGAAAAAAAATCCGCCCACAATTCTACACCTTGGGGGAAACCATGACAGCTGTATGTATATGTTTCTCAGGCGTTCCCGAGCGACACCCATGTCTAGCTGCTAGACGGCAAACCCAAAGCTTGGCCATTCAGACTCACCCGAGGCTTCTCATAAGCCGAGTCTGGGGAGCGGCTTCTGAAAGGTCCCCAACCTTGAAAACCCGAGGGAGCAGTTGTCCCGGGCACATGGGGGAATCCTCTTGATGCGCTCCTGAAAACAGCAGCAACATCGATCCCCCCAGCAGTTGAAGCTGGTTTAGAACAGGCCTTGTGTAGGACCTGGTATGAATTTTCTTTTCTAACTTACAGCATGAACATTCCCCATAGAAGTTGAAAATCTCTGTAAGTGTGATTTTTAACAGCCGCGTACTGCTTCAGCACGCATCTGTGAGTGTTTCATGAATCCATTTCTTTGGGAGGTTTGAGGTTGTTTTTCCTTTGGGGGGGGTGTCCCTCGGAACATCTCTATGGATAATGTTTGCCCACTCCTTGGGCTGCTGTCTTAGAGGGTCCCCAGAAGGAATGAGTAAGGCCCGGGTTATGCAGGGCTTGGGTGTGTGGTATTGAGTCTTATTTCCCAATCTCTTTCTGAAGGGCTAAGCTCGGACAGCCCCCTTTCCCTAAAACAACTGGAGCAGAGAGGTGCCCTGGACTGAGATTCCACGGGGCCTTTGTTTCTCCCTCACCCATCCTGCTTCTTGCCTGAGGACAGCAATGATCCTCTGTGAGGGCTTTTCCCTCAGAACCAGAGACCTGTCTCTTCTCTGACCTGCCCCTCGGTCTTGGTGCTCACCCACCTTGTGTTAGGTGTGCTTGCCACAGGGTCTGCTTCGTCTCAGAAAAGAACATTCTTCTAATAACTAATTAATGCGTTATGATCTCTGCCTGAAATAACTTCGCTGGCCTAAGGCCCGGCAACCCAGAGTAATAAAATAAACAATAAATGGGCCTGCCTGCGGCTCTTTCCAACACAGGCTGCCTCTTTGGAGCACAGTAGCTCTGTGTCCCTCTGGCCCTGGAAGCCTTCCCTCTTGCCTCTATTTTTCTCCCTTCACTACTTTGTTCTGGTGTCCAGCTAAAGTCGCTCTTCCCTTGGACTCTTTGGCCCCCTGGTCACTCCTTGCTGCCCACTTTTGGTGGCTCTTCTTTTCAGGGGGTAGCAGGTCTCTAGGACAGCTGACCATCTCAGAGACAGACGCCGGCCCGAGTGTTCCCATGGTGCGGACCTCGGCTTCCTTAAAGACATGCTATTAGGTCCATGCTGACTTTGCCCGAGCTGAGGAGGAGCACACCACCCGGGAGGGTCTAGGGACGTGGTTCTCAACCTTCCTCATGCTGCGACCCTTTAATACAGTTCCTCATTTAGTGGTGACCCCCCACCATAAAATTATTTTTGTTGCTACTTCATAACTATCACTGTCATTTTGCTACTGTTATGAATTGGAT